AATATTTCTGAGTATCCGGGTCGGGTGAGGGGTAAAGGTCATGGTGTGACTCCAACCTCTTTGTATAAGCATCCAAGGAGAAGAAATCCTAGCAATGCAGAAGTGATGCAAACATTGCAGGATTTACAAGCTCAAGTCCGTGAATTGCAGAAGGATAAAGAGAGATATATGGCGGAAAAGAGCAGTTCACAATTGAAAGAAACTAGTGACAAAGCTAGTATCAACTGTCAGCATAAATTTCCCAAGGTAATTTTCAATATATATCCGTTATTATTATAGAATATTTTTAGTCACTTCTAACGATTATTATTGGTTTAGGGCATTTCATCTTGCCAGCTATACCTATCGTCGCCGACTTATCAACTAGTTGGCAAGGGAAAAGTCCATAACACTTCAGGAGATTTACTTCATAATAGACCGCTTCCGGATGGACACATGAAAGTATCGGTTGACATTGTCTTAGATATGGATGTGTTGCTTCCGGTACCTGACATTGTTGCTGAGACCACATTACTGCGAGATGTAATAGGATCTTTTGTTGCATGGCCATCGGACCTCATTTTCATAGATGATCAGGTATGTTGAAAACAATTATGAATCTTTAAGTCTTCAACTGACCACAGTTATTTCCACGGTAATTATAGACTCCTACGACACCCGCATCTAAGGGTAAAGGGATTTTGCGGCACGACGAGTCTGACGTATCACCAAAAGAGGTACGTTTAAAGTGTTAATTATATGATCCGAATAAAAAACTGCATAATTTTATAATTTAACTGAGTTTATATGATTTTTAGGTACCTTTTCATGGGTCACAACAAGTGAGCCAGAAAATCTTGGCGTACCACCCAAGAAAAGGGTGCCTACTAGATTTTTCCCTCGATACCGGCAGTGTCTTGAAACAATAGTAGGAACAACAGATTTGATGGATAGTGGTATTCGTCAAATGGATATGGATCAAGGTATCTTTGGTTTTCCTTGCATCGAAATAATTGGACATGAAGACGTGGAACAGATTTTCCGTCATAAAGAATTGGGCGTCAGTATTATGCACGCATACATCCGGTAACCCCATCTTTATATTATGTAATTAGCTGAAATCTTTTTTAAACATTTCAATGAATATACTCTAATATTAATTATGTTTTTATTTAAGGTTGTTATATGACAAATTGATGCGCGGGAATCAATTGTCAAACAGATTCCATTTCGTGTCTTCCTCCCGTGTCAGCGGAGCGACAATTGGTAGGGAACTGGAATCAGTAAGAGAGCACTTAGTCGAAAGATTCATGGCAACTGGCAGTACAGAAAGCTTATATCTTTGGGCATATAATACTATTCATACAGGGTTAGATTTTCATTCTAAGTTCATTTTAATATTTGTAATTTTTGCGTAGAAAAATTTCTTCTAAACTGTTGTTTTAATTTATAGACGTCACTGGTTGTTGGTTGCTATCGATCCTATAAAAGAAGTGGTCTATTATCTGAATTCGGTTGACGGTGATTGGATAAATTATCTGGATATGAAGTTAATGATTGATACGTAAGTGATATTATTCTAAATATTTGTGTGTATTTATGTATTTAATTATTTCTGTGACATTGTTCTAAATATATATTTTTATTTTGTTAGAGCGATACAAGTATTCCGGTGTCAAAGAGAAGCTAGGGTACGACGGTCTAAATCAAACAACATTAATTGGATCAAAGTGCAGGTATATTAATTTCCACTATTTTGCTTATAATATTTACGCTATTTGATAAAACAATACAACTATATATTCTTATTTGTTTTTCTATGTAGTGTCCTCAACAGCAAAACGGTATAGATTGCGGATACTTCGTTATGCTGTTTATCAAAGAAATCATTCAACTGAATAAAATAGAGATTCCAGTCACGGTATGGATTTATAACTTAGGATTTGTTTTATTATTTCTCGGATATTTCATATAATTTTTTACTTTTAACTAAATCATGCATATTATGTTTTGTTATGTAGTACTTCGATGAGTACAAATGTGCATATTACACAAAACTTCAGTTGGAAGAAACCAAAGAGGAGTTGTGTCAATATTTTATTGAGCAAAGAATCATATAAGGACTGGTTTAGTTGTTGTTAGGGTTGATTTTGTAAGACTGATTTTGAGTTACAATGCTGATAACAATGGTTTATATATAATTTGAGGTACAAAAATGGTGTATATATATTTTGGATTACAATGCATTACCGCTGTTTATGAATTACAAGTTATGGCAACTGGTTTATATAAATAATATGCTGCAAACAATGCGAGTATATGAATTATATAAATTATACCTCTAAAAAAAACACCCTATGAAAGCGCTTTTTGGAGAAAAACGCTTTCATAGGTAGACCTATGACAACGTTTTTTCACATAAAGCGTTGTCTAAGGTAAACATATGACAGCGCTTTTCCAAGAAAAAGTGCTGCTAAAAGACAACCTATGAAAGCTCTTTTCCATAAAAAAGCGCCACCAATGAAATCGCTTCTTCATAAAAAAGCGCTGCCAAAAGCCTACTTAAGAGAGCGCTTTTTAGAAAAAGCGCTGCCAAAAGCCTACTTAAGAGAGTGCTTTTTAGAAAAAGCGTTGTCATAAGGGTACTTAAGAGAGTGCTTTTTAGAAAAAGCGCTGTCATAAGTAGACCTACGAAAGCGCTTTTCATTAAACAAAAAGCACTGCTAAAACCTATAGCAGCGCCACCTTAGAAAGCGCTTTTAAAGGCCAAAAAAAGCGCTTTCGTAGGTCTTTTTTGGCGTAGTGGACGTGATTTTCACGTCGCTACTTGCTTTATGTGCTTTATCAAAACGCTCCACAACACACAATAGCGTTTCAGTTTTTATTAAACTTCTTCTTCAACCTCCTCCTTCCATATTCCTCCATACCCATTTTCTTCTCCAAAATTTTTTCTTCTCCACACTTAAATTCCTACAATCTCCATACATTGTTGTTGTAAGGTAACTTCAATTCAATGTTATTTATACTTTGTTAACAGCTTTTGATGTGTTATTTGAATATAATTTTTTTTCAATTTTTCTTTGAATAGAGAAGAAGAATATTGATAGAAGTATAGATTGCAAAAAGGGACAAGAAGATTGAAGGAGTTACAAGATAAAATGTATGTCTTGAATTTTTTTTTGAAATTAGTATATTTTCTGAATTTGATTAATTTTTAGGTTATATATATTTTCTGAATTTCATGAATTTGCATTGGGTTAAAATTGTTGAATTTGGGTTATATATATTTTCTGTATTTAGGTTAAATTTTAGGTTTAATTATTTAGTTTATAATAATTATTAATTATTAATTTGTGATGAATGAGTTTAATTATTTTAGGAGTTTAAGTTTTTATATTTTTAGGAGTTTATAAATTTTTAGTGTTTAAATTAAATTTTTAGGAGTTTAATAAGTTTTTAAATTTTTAGGAGTTTATAAAATTTAGGTGTTTAAATTAAATTTTAAGTGTTTAAAAATAAATAAATATTTTTAGGAGTGGATTTCTGACCCATAATCCTCAGTATACGCCTCCTCCAGGAAAATCGGTTCATCCAGATGTGGATTTCTATATTTGGAGTCAAGTTGTTGGGGGAAAGGGGCCTAACGGGTATTTTTTTGGTGGTGGAAATTTGGCGGGCACCTTGAGGAGTGGGGATAGAAATCTGTATCAGAGAGCTGCAGACGGTGAAGGAGGGTCACGTCAAACAAATTTGACACCAGATCAGTTAGAACTGGTAAGACAATTGGCTAGACGCGAGTCCGAAGATCGTGAGGCAGCATTGAAGGTCCAAATGGATGTCCAAATGGAGGCAATGAGGGGTGAACATAATAGACAAATTGAGGCAATGGCGAAGAGGCAGGCTGATATGGAGGAGCAAATGCGACAATTTATGCAAGCATTTGGTAGAAATCCCAACAGTGGTGGCCAAAGTAATAACCACCAAAATAATGATGACTTTCTTCCCGACTTTTCCGACGACTCTAATGATTCTGCTTAGTTTTATTTTTATTTTGTATTTAGTTTTTTATTTGTGTAATATAAATTTATAATCATATTGTATATTTAAAAATATTATAAATTTAAATTTGAGTTTATTAAATTTATAATATTAAGTATATTTATTTATATATTTAGATATATTTAGTTTTGTTTTTGATTTGATTTATAATATTGTATTTAATAAATAAATTATAATATTTAATTTATAAATTTAATAAAACAAAAAATAATATTAATTATTAAAATAGAATTAATATATTTAAAACACAATTTTTTTTTTTTTAAAAACAAGTTGCGGCGTGTTTTTCATGTCACTAATTAGTGACGTGAAAAACACGCCGCAACAGAAAACGTAAATATAAATATAAACTGTCTGCTCTGCTCTGCACACTTTCATCCTATACAGTCTGTTGCGGTGTGAATTTCACGTGGCAACTTTGTGACATGCTTTTCACGCCGCAACAAGATTGTCACGCGCTATACAGCGACGTGTTTCTTAAGGTGGCAAAATTTGAATAGTAGCGTGATTTGGGTGTTAGCGACGTGGCTTTCACGTGGCAAAACACAAGTTATTTTGTAGTGATATAATATTATTTTATATGAACTAAAATTTAAGATTTTACGTTTCGATTTTTACGAGTTAAATTAAAAACTCGATTTTGACAACCTTAAATTTACTTATACTAGTTCTTTAAAAAAATGACTTCGTATAATGTTTAATTGTAAAATTTAATAGTGATTGGAGGACTATATCAACTCGGGAATAAATGTGAACATTTTATGTGAATCAATTTGCCATAAGAAAATATAGAACAAATGTGCACTGAATTACAATTCTACAAGCAAGACCTCATATTCCTTAACAAGATTTGTATTAATTTGCATGACTTATTTTTAAACAGCAAGTTACTGTACTTGATTTGGTTGATTTGATGAAAGCGAAACCGTTATCTTCTTCTTCTTCTTCTTCTCACGGTCCATTCAATTATGTAATGTTAACCTGCAATACATTGAGAGATTAGTTAATATAAATGAATTAGTTTTTAATAACACCTCTGAACTTTCTGTGAAGTCAAAACACTAACCCTAACTTGAGAGATGTGTCACTGCCATCGTCTTCAAGAAAATAAGATGAACCGCTAATAACTGATTCCAATGATTGTTGCCTTTGTCCAATTATCAGGTCTGGTACCTGAAATCCACATTTTATTACTATGCTGCTGCGAGTTTTCCATCAAATATATAAGAAATTGTTTTGAAAAAAATTACCACATGCTTCAATCTTTGATTTTCTTGGATCAGTTCCACTTCCTACATGGAGAGAATATAATAAAAAAGTTGTAGCAGAGAATGAAAGCTACTTGTGGAAAAATCCAAGAATGTGTGAGAGGTTTTCCGTTTAGCATTTACCTTTCTCTTAAGGGCGTTGATGCCTTGCATAAACATTTCATCCTGAAACATATCAGTTTTGGATATTGATAAAGATCGTAGATTAATCAAATCCCTTGTGAGAAATGAACTAGTGCATTACCTTCCTTTTTGAGACACTCGACAAAGTTCTTCTAAGTTGAGCCTCTAGTTTCTGGAGTTCTTGTACTGTCAATTCTTGCAAATCTTCTCCATTCATTTGCCTGTGTTGAACGTGGAAACTAAGTCTCAGCTGATATATATATATATATATATATATATATATATATATATATATATATATATATATATATATATATATATATATATATATATATATATATATATATATATATATATATATATATATATATATATATATATATATATATATATATATATATATATATATATATATATATATAGTACTAAAAGTATTAGCACTGTACCTCAGTTCACGAGATTTATCTTCTAATTTCTTGCGCAATGTTTGGCTAGACTCACTCTCAACCTGTAAATAAAGGTTAAAAAAAAATTGTATTGCTTTTTTTTAGCAAATTAATGTCAATGACAATTCTCAAATGCAATTTTTTTTGTCTTCCTTTTATTATGCGATAATTCTAATAACTATATATACACATCTAAGAATAATTTGACACATGTCATACGAGTGTCGGACACTATAGACATGTCTAATTTCTGAGGTGTGTGCATGCTTTATAGCTAGACCACTATTTATAGATGATCACATCAGATATCAGTGAGAAAATACTCTAGATCAAGTTTGGCAAAGAATATGTTTTCGTCAAAAGGATATATCATGAATACATCATTCATCAAGATTACAATTAGTTGAAATTAATTTACCTGAAACTGATCAGTAGATGGATGGTCCATTGATATATGATTTTCTGAACATCCATTGCGCCTTTCAATTACTTGTTGAATACTGATAACAACAAACACATTATATTAGGATCTAGTTTCCTTTGAATAAATGATGGATGCTCATGAAATTTGAGAACTATATATATCACTGTTAGATTTTGAGGTAGTGATGTTAGGTTAGTTGATATAGTTGAAAGACACCAAGGGCATGTTTCTTTTATCTTTACAAAAATAGATCTTTTTATTATTTTCAAAAATGAATCTTATAGAATCGTTTTTTTAAATATTATAAGTTTTTTAATATTTATTTTTTCAAAATTAAAAAATTAATTTTAACATTCTTTAATATAGATATATATTATTAAAAATTAAAACATAATTGAAATTGTAATTTTTTTAAAAAAATTATATTTCAAAAATGATTTCTATAAAAGGTTATTTGAAATAACTTTAATATTAAGTGTTTTTTGAAATTTTGATATCCAAAAAAATTTCATTAAAAAAATAAAATATCTAAAATAATATTTTAAAAATAATTATTTATACTAAACATTTATTTAAATTTTTTATGAAAAGTTTCTTTATAAACTGTTTTTATTTAAAATTATGAAACACTATAAAAATGATTTTTTTAAAAGGCAAAACAAAAGAATCATTAGTTTGCTATAATTGAACAATTTGTTACTCTCTCCGTCTCACAAATAAGTGTCATCTTTCTTATTTTTATTTTTTTCGAATTATTTATCTCTTTAAATATTAATATAATATTTATTATTTTTTCCACTATCTTTATTTATTATATTTTAATTTATGTAATTATTTCACTATCTATTATTAATAAGATTATTTCAATAAATAACATTCGTTTTATCATTAAAATCAATATTTAATTATTATATTCAAAAATGTGAAAATATGAGAACACTTATTAAATGGAGGGAGTACTTATTTATTGGCGTTGAAATTTAGATACTTGATTTTAGAATTTTAATGACAATTCTTAATACAAGTTTAGCATTGGTTTATTATATGAACTAGTAAATTATTTTCATCTTAATTGTATTAATATTATTCTTTCCGATTTTTTTTATAAAAGATATTTCACCTTTTTAAATTCATTGAATAATTAATGTATCTGATTTATTTTAAACGTAAAAAGATGAAGTCTTTTTTATAAAAAAATAAAAAAGAGTATTAAAAATACTCGTAATAAGGTTTACACCTATTGTTATATATCTGTGTTTAATCAAAAGCTCAAATCTCAAATTGGGATACAAGTGAAGTGGGGGAACATTAACATGAGTGCTTATGTTATTGAGTCTAATATTTATTGAGTTAAATTAATGATATTGGCTACAGACCAACACAAAATTGTGCAAATTGAATTGGATAAAGACTTTAAGTGGGAAGAAGCACTCTGGTAAAAGAATGCATGTAGGAAGACTAGTTACACGTATCAAAGAAGAAATCGTACATTGAAAAGTAGTTTAATATTTAAGCAATTTTCTGTTTTAATATTTAAGTAATTTTTAGTTTTATTTTTATTTTGGATTAAAAGCTCATTAGGTTCTCTTTAGACCCATTAAGATTTTGTGTTTTCTGTAAATAAAGATCTTTGGCGAGACCATAAGGATTATCTTTTATTATAATAAAATTCAAAGTTTTCTTTATCTAGTAGATTTCAGAGCTTATCTGACAGGTTTAGCGCTTGCAATCCTGAGTTTTCATTTTAGGTTTAGCACCTACAACCTCGAGATTCCAACCCTAGGAATAAGGGGCTAGCAGCTCTAGCGGTGTGCAGTAGGGTAAAGCACCACTATGGAGGCAAAATAATTCATATATTAAACTCACTAGAGACACGTGTTATCATTGTAACGGAAGAGGCCACCGACCGAATGTTTGTCCAACAAGGAGAGTCGATGTTGTTGTGGAAGAAAGGGAGAAAAATGAGGAGAGAGAAGATCCTGCAGTTGAGAATGATGAATATGTTGATGTTGAGTTTGCAAAGGAAGCTTATGATGTAAATTTGTGTTGTAGAGAATGTCACTAGCATCCAAAGACGAAAGGCAGCGCACAAATTTGTTTAAAACACATTGTTCTATCAAGAACAAAGTGTGTAATCTGGTGTCACAAAAATTGATTGGTTATTTGAAGTTGTCCACAAAACTCCATGAGAAGTCATACACCCTCGATTGGGTAAGCAAGGACTCCCAAGTTAGAGTAACATTAGTCTATAGAGGACGGGATAATGTGATGATGTTTACATGTGGCACACATAAAATTGTTATGGCTCCCGTTTAGCTCTTTGATAAGAATCCCGGTGGAAATAAGTGTAGTTTCTTGGTGATGACGCAGAGTGAAAAGAAGCTTGATGAGGCTGTAAAAAATTGAACGTTTCTGTCCAGTGATGATCAAATGGTTGATGAGTGTTATAAAGGAAGAAACAACGATTCTAGAAGAATTGCTAGAGATCCTTGAGGATTTCAAGGAGTTGATTGTAGAGGAATTACCAAATAATTTACCTCCCATGCGAGATATTCAACATCAGATTGACCTCATCCTGGGGTGTAGCTTGCCAAACCTTCCTCGTTGTCGTATGATCCATAATAAGAATGGGATTTTTAGGGAGCATAATGAAGATTTGTTGAAGAATGGATTTATTCGTGAGAACATGAGTCCCTGTGCAGAACCAGTCATTTTAGTCCCTAAGAAAGGAAACCAGTGGTGAATGTGTGTTGACAGTCGAGCCATCAATAAGAAAACTATCAAGTATCAATTCCCAATTCCCTATTTGAAAGACATGCTTGACGAGTTGGTTGGTTCTAAGGTGTTCTTGAAGATAAATTTGCATAGTGGATATCATCAAATCAAAATTAGACTTGGGTATGAATGGAAAATAACTTTCAAGAGTAAGGTGGATTGTATGAGTGGTTGGTGATGCCCTTTCATTTGTCAAACGCCTCTAGCACCTTCATGCGGTCGATGAATCAATTTTACGCCTGATTACTGGTTCTTTCGTAGTGGTTTATTTTGATAATATTATGATTTACAGTAAGACACAGAGCATTTGCAACATGTGAGGCAAGTGTTGCAAGTCTTATAGGTGAATCAGTTGTACGTTAATCTGAAAATTATACATTCAGCACCAACAAGTATATTTAACAAAATAAAAAGTATTTCAATTTTAAAGGAATAAATTGAAGATCTTATCCTACCACAAGTTATGCGGTTTGAATATATTAGGCCCATAGTACAAAACTAAAGAGAAATATAAAGAGATGTAAACCATTAAAATCAATCTAGGTAGTTCAAATGAATGAGGGCCTAAATAATTTTATATGATACTAAAGTAGCGCTCAAACTAAAGGGAACATTTTATTGGACATCTCTAAGAACTTTGATGTTATACGGGATAAAATGTTGGGCAGTAAAGAACCAACATAAAAATAAACTAAGTGAAACAAATATGAGGGTGTGTGGTAACATTAGACAATGTAAGATTAAAAATGATAATATTAGAGAGAGTGTCGGAGTATCTTATATAGTTTACAATATAGTGGAAACTAGACTTAGGTGGTTTGAACATGTAGAAAAAAATTGTAAATTTGGTAGTAAGGAGAGTAACTCAGATTAAGGGTAGTTAAATATCTAGAGGTAGAAGGCCTAGAAAAGGTATATGAGAAATTATTGAGAAAACATCTCAGGATAAATAAGTTGGACAAAAGCATGGTTTTTGATAAAACATTATAATGTAGTTTGATCCATGTGCCTAACCTCACTTAGAGAGAAAAACATATGGGTGGTTTATTGTTGTTGTTGTTGTAAACTAGACCCAAGTCATTCTAGAAAATTCATCAATAAAGGGGATGAAATGCATATGATTATGGAGTAAAGGTGTCCTTGGTAGTGCACAAACATCGATATGTGTTAACCCTAGAATGTCTTCAAATCTCCAGGTTTCTACTTTAGTCACAATCGATATTTTCTTATCGATATACGCCTTTCACAAGTGTTGGAACTTTGTCATATTAGTTTCTAGTTTTAGAGCTTTTGTGGGGATTTTGATTAATATTGCATGATATTGAGTTGAATATAACATAAGTTAAGACTTATGTTTAGAGCATCATTATACCCTGAATCACTCTAACCAGGAAAATCTATGATACTTTACTTGGTGAGTTTCATGTTGATAACAGGCATGATAAAGAAGAAAATGATGATTGTTGTGAAAATCTCCTTCGTATTAGATTAGATCATGGTGCGATGAGTGTAATGATAAAAAATGTGAAAAGTATGTGTAAATGTCATTGTAATTGCTTGAGATCGTGGCACAACAAAGGCACTGATCACATGTGTATAATTTTATTAAAGGACAAATTATGGTACAATTGATTAGATTATGGTTTGATTTGGAAGAATGAAAACTTAGCCTATAAATGCAAAAAACCAAATTCGAAGAAGGGTTCAAAACTTTTACAGAGAGATTACGACTGCAAGATTTCCAGAGATTGAGATTGATGTTTCAACACCACCGAAGCCTATATTTAATCTTTGATTCATGTATAGTTTCTTAAACATTTTAGCTATGGTTAATTCAATTATTAGTAGGTAAAATCTCATTTAATGGTCGTGAGATGAATTTGTTTAGAGCTACATAATTTGTTGAGTACTAGTATTATTCACCTAAATTTTTGTCTCCAATATCATTATATATTAACAAAGGTAAGAATTGATCCCAAATAACAATTAATTAATAGTCATAAATGTTAAATCTCTGTCTAATTTAAGAGTTCAACAAATAATCACTTTAAACATATTGGAATATTTGTTTGTGATAATAAGACTTAATGTTCTTTAAAACATTCTTTAATTAAAAACTCACAACAAATATTATAATGATGTAATTAAAGGAGAGGGTTACGAGCAAGGATATCATTTTTTGATAAGCAAGTAATTTGTATTAAAGATGAGTACTAGGGGTACTCAACCCTTGATACAAAGAGAAATAGAAGATACAAAGGCCAAAACAACAAAAGAAACAAGGCTTATGACTTGAAATCT